GAAAATAACGCAAATGCTTTAAAAATTACATATAATAAAATTCTCTTCCTTTTGGTGTATAGTTATATGACTTTTAACACTCAAATAAACATTTAACTTCCACCACAATGAGAATAGAGAAAATTTCTGCCATCTCCTCAAATTTTCTCATGCTATTTCTTTGTAGTCAATCTGTCTGACATTGTTCCATCATTGCTTTTTGGAAAGAGTATCTTTCTCCATTGAATTACCTTCACAAATTTGTTAGAAAACAGTTGATCATATTACTGTGGAGCTATTTTGTGTCTATAATTTTGTGATACCACCCTGTTTTGCTTGCTGGAGTTACATATCTGATGCTGTCAGTTCTCCAATTTTATTCTCTAAGATTTGTTTTGACTATTCTATGTCCTTTGCTTTCCCATATCATTTTAGAATCAGCTAATCTATATCTAAAAATGAACTCAGATTTTGATTGAGATAACTTCTCTGTATTTTGGGAAAACTGAGATATAATTTATATTAATGTTTTAATCCATAAATACAGCATATGTCTTTATTTAGGTCTTGTTTAATTTCTTTTATCAGTGTTTGATAGTTTTTCAGCATATAGGTTTTATATATATATACACACTGAGTGGCTAGATTATTATGACCACCTGACGTTTGTAGGCAAATTAGCTATAATTTCCCGCTGAATTTGCTAGAGGGCCAGATCATTTTAAACGTCTGAATGGCACAACATACCTAAGTATCGTTGCTGATCAAGTTCATCCTATCGTGTTGATGGCATACCCCAATGGAGATGGCTTCTTCCAACAAGACAATGCACCATGCCACAGTGCTCATATTGTGCAGGAGTGGTTTCAAGAACATGAGGGAGACTTTACCTTGCTTGGGTGGCCCCTATAGTCACCAGATCTCAATCCAATTGAGCATTTGTGGGACTAATTTAAAAGAGCCATCAGGCAGCTGGTTCCACAGCCATCAAATCTCACAGAACTGGACAGTGCTATTCGGGTGTCAGATTCCTCGCATCACCTTTCAACATCTCGTGGAGTCAATGCCAAGAAGAATCGCTACAGTATTGAAGGCAAAAGGTGGCCCAATGAAGTACTGGTGGGGCGGTCATAATAATCTGGCTGGTCATAATAATCTGGCCACGCAGTGTATATATATGTTCTATTTACACCTAAGTATCATTTGAGGGGCTATTATAAATAGTACATCAATTTTAGTTTAAGAAGTAAGTGAGCCAGTCCAAAATGGCAGCAGGTTAAGTGGAAGCTACACTGACATTCTCCCAGGACCCAACTGGAATTAGAACTAAAATATAGAAAAGCCATCCTGAATAATCAACTGAAGACTGGCTGGAGAGAAATCTTATAATTTTAGTTTACAACTGGTCAATTGTTCAATTATGTAGACCATGATATATATTGTGTTGACTGTTTGTGTCCTGTAGCCATGTTAAATTACTTATTTGCCCTGGCCACTGTGGCTTAATAGGTTGAGTGTCATCCCATATACCAAAAGGTCACTGGTTTGATTCTTGGCCAGGGAAAATACCCTGGTTGCAGGTTTATTCCCATTCTGGAGGCAATCAATTGATGTTTCCCTCTCATCTCTCTCTCTCTCTCTCTCTCTCTCTCTCTCTCTCTCTCTCTCTCTCTCTCATCAATTTTAAAACATATTTAAAATAAATAAAAAATAAATTCACTTATTAGTTCTAGGAAAAATTTTTATAGATTCCTTGAGAATTTCTACATAAACAATTATGCTATCTGTGGCTTATAAGAACAGTTGTATTTCTTCTTCTGCATTCTGTATGCCCTTCATTTCTTTTCTTACCTTATTGCGTTCACCAGAAATGGTAATGTTGAATAAAAATGGCAAAATGGATAAGCTTGTATTATTATTTCTGAACCTAGTGGGAAAGCGTTAAGTATCTTACAAACTAGGATTTTTGTACATTCTTTTTGTCAGGTTAAAGCAGTTTCTTTTTATTCTTAGTCTGCTGAAGAGTTGTTTTTGTTTATTTGTTTGTTTGTTTGTTTTTTGCTTGTTTGTTTGTTTTTCCAAATATATATTTTTATTTATTTCAGAGAGGAAGGGAGAGGGAGAGAGAGATAGAAATATCAATGATCAGAGAGAATCATTGATTGGCTGCCTCCTGCACACCCCCTACTGGGGATCAAGCCCACAACCCGGGCATGTGCCCTTAACCAGAATCGAACCTGGGATCCTTCAGTCCACAGGCCGACGCTTCGACTGTCCACTGAGCCAAACCAGCGAGGGCAGTGCTGGGGAGTTTTTATAATGAAGTAATGTTGAATATTTTGAATTTTTTTTTCTGCGAATGATCATGTGTGTGTGTGTGTGTTTTTCTTTCTGGTCTGTTAATATGGTGGTTACATTAATTTATTTTCTTAGTGATTTGAATTTTTTATCATTATAAAATGTCTCTTGTTTATGCTAGCAATTTTTGTCATCCTGAAGCCTACTTTTTCTGATATTAACACTGCCATTCCAGCTTTTTGTTTTAAGTTAGTGATTTTTTTGCATCTTTCTTTTCTTCTTCAACATATTTCTATCATAATATTTAAAGTGGATTTATGGTAGGGTCTGTAGCATTGGATTTTTTGTTGTTTAAATTCAATCTGAATAATATGCTTAGAGCATTTTCATTTAGTGTAATAAATAGTATGATTAGATTATGTTCTATAATTTTATTACTTATTTTGTTTTATCCCTTTGTTTTTCTTTATATTCCCTTCATGATATCTTTTATATCATTTGAACACAGTGGGGCCTTGACTTATGAGTTTAATTCGTTCTGTGATGGAGCTCGTAACTCAAATTACTCGTATGTCAAATCAAAAAGTGAACGAGTGAGACACATGATGCTGGGCTGATGTTGTGGCGTTCACTGTGACGTTCGCTGCGCCATCTAACGGTGGGGTATCTGAGGCTGGCTCATAACCCGAATTTTAGCTCGCAACTCAAAGCAAAAAATCGGCCGAGAGATGGCTCGTATCTCAAAAAACTCGTTAGTTGGGACACTCGTAAGTCAAGTCCCTACTGTATTATTTAATATTCTATCTGAATTTTTTATTGGGTGTATATGTCCTTTAAGAATATTTTTTTACTTGATCTAGGGATTACAACATGCAACCTAACTTTTCACAGTCTACTTAGAATTAGTATTATGGCTTTGAATGCAATACAGAAAACTTGCAACCATAGGACTTTGTGGGAGGCAACCGGGCTGATCGGGGGAAGGCACCAGCCCCATCACCCCGCTGCTGCAGCCACTGCCAGTCACCGCAGCCACCAAGGTTTTTTCATCAACATGGACTCCAGTCCCTTCACCATGAAAAAAATGACAACTTTCTTTAGGCATTTTGAAGATGTGTCTTTCATAGGATATGACATTTCTTTATTATTTTTTTATCCTCACCTGAGGATATGTTTCCATTGATTTTTAGAGAATGTGGAAGAGAAAAGGAAAGACAGAGAGAAACATTGAAATGAGAGGAACACTTTGATTGGTTGCCTCCTGCATGAGCCCTGACCTGGGCCCCGACCAGGGAGGAGCCTGCAACCTAGGTACATGCCCTTGTTCAGAATTGAACCCAGACCCTGCGGTCGGCAGGCCAAGGTATTATCTACTGAGCCAAACCGGCTAGGGCAGGATATGACATTTCTTAGCCCCCTAGCAGCAGACCTTCGTTTTTTTCGCCAGGAGTGTGGTGAAAAGCCATAAGTCACCTTTTGGATTCTTATTACCCAAGGTACTAAGAATATTACCAGTGGCATACAGGGAGTTTAGCCAATCAGTGGTCAGAAAAGGTGTTTCTTCTGTAATTCAAACCGATCTCTGGCTGGCCCTCCACCCAGGCCTGATGCCTCGGCCAGAGGCGTTGACCTCCATCACCCTCCGATCTCCAGATTAGCCCCTTGCCCAGACCTGACACCTCTGGCCCAGGCATCAGGCCTGGGCAGGGGACCCCCATCTCCCTCCGATTGCTGGCTCCACCCCCCTCCCAGGCCTGAAGCCTCTGGCCAAGGCTTTAGGCTTAGGCAGGGGCCCCTCCAGCAGCTCTGATGGCCGGCTCTGCCCCTGCCCAGAAGCCCCCTGGCTCAGGCCCTTCTTATGCTGCTCAGGGCCCACACAGGGTCTACCTTGAAGTGACCTGGGTGCTGATGATATTCCCGGGACCCAGGCTGCTGGGCGCCTATGTATGCAAATTAACCGCCATTGTTGTTGGGTTAATTTGCATACTCATCCGATTGGCTGGTGAGCGTAGTGGAGTGACACCAATTTGCATGTTTCTCTTTTATTAGTGTAGATGGGGCCCTTACAGACATTTTCCCTATCAGGGCCAATGCTGTGGCTGGACCAGCCCTTGTTCTTATCATGAGTGCAGAATGCAACTCGGCAAAATAATCAGAAAACTTTGAGGAACAAGGTTTATTACTCATAGGTCTTAGAGCAGTGACTCATTTTTTTGGTTGATTTTTATTTGGTTTTTTTTGTTTGTTTGTTTGTTTTTTAAGAGAGAATAGAAACATTTTATTATGGTAACAATGAGCAAGCAATTCAAATGAGTGGAGGCAGCAGTGTGGGGATGATACACCTAGCAGTAAGTAATCAAGGTGTGGTGTGATAGAGGTGTGGTGGCAACAGTTAGTTTCACAAGAAGAGGAGAACTAGTTATTCAGCAAAGTGATTACATTGAGTTTGCTCAACAACTTTCTACAGAAACATCTGAATATACTGAACATTGTTCTCTTGGCTGTTGAATCTCTTGTCTTTTGCTCTTTCTAGCATTTCACTTAGTTGAGTACTGAAAAACATTTTCCAGACAAATCTTTGTTCTCTAGTGGGCAGATAATAAGGAACAATTTTAGTCCTTCCATAAAAATTAAATTCAACAAATTTATGTATATATAGAAAGAATTTTATAAACATCTCTATCTATAGATTATCTAAGGCAAATAATTGATTTCTCTAACAACATCTGTAAAATGAGCATTGTGATCCTAAAGATAAAAATAAGGAGTAGGAGCCACGGGTGGAGATTATGTGCCAATCTAGAGGAGGAAACTTTACTAAGGATAGAGAATGCATGGGGTCATGGTCTTTTGATCTCCTGCATTCATTTTCTCTCTGTCTTTGAGAGTTCAGAAGATAGGGAGCATCCATACTTTCTGCTTTGGAGTTTTACAAATTGAGGATGTTTTCCTTCCCTCTTACCTCAACCAAAAGTAACCCAATTTCTATGACTGAAGTTTACTACACGCCCCAGTCTGAGAGCCTGAGAGACAGAAACAGAGTTCTGACTTTAGGGAATTAGTTATATGGGGCAGACGCACCTGAAAACATACAGGAAATTTAGACAGATTTTCATTAGCCTAATCTTCCTTGAACAGAGATGAGATTTCTCTCCAGATTACTCTTAATCCTTTCAAGATTAAATCAAGCATCCCTTTCTGACTCTCAACTTCACCTCTAGCATTTTGCTGCATGAACAAATAGTATTTCTCCCTTTCTTCAAATTCCCTCTCCATTTCTGCCTTTTTCATTTCCTGCTCTAATGTAACCTCTAGCTTTCTGATTTTCTCTTCATACTCCTCTTTTAACTGCCTTTTCTCTTTCTTCAGCCGAGCTCTGTAGTTTTCTTGTATAGCTTGAATCTGTTTCTGAATCTCCACCTCTGCTCTTTGGTAAATCTTGTTAGTGTAGAATCCTCCCTTGTTCTGCTTCACTATGCGCTGGACCAGGTCCAGCAGTTGTGTCCTTTGATCCTCCTGCTCAGCCCCTGTCGCCTTATTGTTGAACTCACAGTGGCGATCCTTGAACTGCTTCATCAGATCTTGAATGCCTTCTGGTGCTTCCTTTAAGTAATCACGGAGCTCCATGCCATCCAAGTCATCTTTCCGGGTAAATAAGAGGTCTTAGAGCAGTGACTCGTTTTTTTGGTTGATTTTTATTTGTTAAATGGCATTTAAATATATAAAATAAATATCAAAAATATGTCTTTGTTTTACTATGGTTGCATATATCAAAAAATTTCTATATGTGACATGGCGCCAGAGTTAAGTTAGGGTTTTTCAAAATGCTGGCACGCCGAGCTCAAAAGGTTCGCCATTACTGTCCTAGAGGGTAGCCTGCTCAAGAGTCCCACAGTGAGGTCATTGGTCAGTGGGGTTAGATTGGGGGGTCACAGAGGGGGAGAGAGAGAGAGGGTGGGAGGTCCAGGGTTTCACCAGTTCACTGTTTATTGGCTAATTTAAAGCAATAGGGTGGGAATCAGGGTGTGGAAAGGAAAAAGTGGGATCAAACAATGGTCAGTTATCTAGGTTATCCAGGGTTTTCTAAAAGAGGAAACTTAATGGGTGGGAGTGGCCTAATTCCTTATCTGCTTATTTTGCTAGTAGTTGTATCATTCAGTGGTCAATATGGGTATAGTATTCTTGGATTCAGTCCCTTGCTTTGCATTACTTTGTATATGTAACATCAATCAAAAGTTTAATATTACACACTACACAGTTTTTGTTTTATTTTCAGTGCACTAAAATGTTTGTTTCACTCTTTCTGGCCTCCTTGGTTTCTTGTGAAAAAATCTGTGTTCATTTATTTCATTATCATCCTATATGCAATGATCTAGCTGTTTTCAAATTTTTTATTCATCTTTAGTTTTTCAGCAGTTTTATTATAATGTTGGGGCATGGATATTTTAAGGCTTATTTTGTTTTATATTTATTAAACTTCTTGAATCTGTAAGTTTATGCCTTTTGACAAATTTAGAAAACTTCAGATATTATTTTTTCCTGACTCCAATCTCATTTTCTTCTCTCCCTGGTACTGCAACAACAGGAGTGTTAGAGCTCTTGATAGTACTCTGTTGACTGCTGTTCATGATTTTTAGACTTTTTCTGTTGTTCAGACTGGATAATTTTTATGGAACTCTTTTTAAATCCACTCTTTACTATTACCATTCTACCAAATTAATTCTGTGAAATTTTATTTTATGTTTTTCATATTGTCACCGCCCCAGTGTCTGTGTCCCTTGGTTATGCTCATATGCATGCATACAAGTCGTTTGGTTGATATCTAACCACCCCCTCCCCTGCCTTCCCTGTGAGGTTGGATGGTCTGTTCAGTGCTACCTTGCCTCTGGATCTATTTTTGTTCATCAGTTTATGTTGATAATTATATCCCACAAATGAGTGAGACCATGTAGTATTTATATTTTTCTGACTGGCTTATTATGCTTAGCATAATGCTATCCAGTTCCATCCATGCTGATGCAAATGGTAAAAGTTCCTTCTTTTTATAGCAGTGTAGTAGTCCATTGTGTAGATGTACCACAGTTTTCCAATCCACTCATCTGCTGATGGGCACTTAGGCTGTTTCCAAATCTTAGCTATTGTAAATTGTGCTGCTGTGAACATAGGAGTGCATGAATCCTCTCTGACTGGTGTTTCTGTTTTCTTGAAATATATTTCTAGAAGTGGGATTATTGGGTCAAATGGCAGTTCCATTTGTAACTTTTTGAGGAAGTTCCATACTGTTTTCCACAATGGTTGCACCAGTCTGCATTTCCCCAGCAGTGCAAGAGGTTGCCTTTTTCTCCACATCCTCACCAGTACTTGTCATTTGTTGATTTGTTGATGATAACCATTCTGACAGGTGTGAGATGGTACCTCATTGTTGTTTTGATTTGCATCTCTCAGATGATTAGTGACTTTGAGCATGTTTTCATATGTCTCTTGGCCTTTTGTATGTCCTCTTTTGAAAAGTGTCTATTTAAGTCCTTTACCCATTTTTTATTGGTTTGTTTATCTTCCTTTTGTTAAGTTGTATGAGTTCCCTGTAAATTTTAGATATTAAACCCTTATCTGAAATAGCCGTGGCAACTATGTTCTCCCATGCAGTGGGTTTTCTTGTTGTTTTGTTGATGGTTTATTTTGCTGTTCAGAAGCTGTTAATTTTGATGGAGTCCCATTTGTTTATTTTCTCTTTAGTTTCCATTGCCCTAGGACCTGTATAGGTACAGATATTGCTATGACATATATCTGATATTTTGCTGCCTATAGAGTCTTCTATGGTTTCCTGTCTTACATTCAAGTCCTTTAACCATTTAGAATTTGTTTTTGTGTATGGTGTAAGTTGCTGATCTAGTTTCATTTTTTTTTTTTTTTTGCATATACCTGACCAAATTTCCCAGCACCACTTATTAAAGAGACTGTCTTGACTGATTTGTATGCTCTTGCCTCCTTTGTCAAATATTAATTGAGTATAATGGCTTGAGTTGATTTCTGGGTTCTCTGTTCTGTTCCATTGGTCTATATGTCTGTTCTTCTGCCAGTACCAGGCAGTTTTGAGAACCGTGGATTTATAATATAGCTTGATTTCTGGTATTATGATTCCCTCCAACTTTGTTTTTCTTTATCAGGATTCCTATGGCTATTTGGAGTCTTCTTAAAAATTTTATTCCATATAAATTTTTGGCAAGTTTTAGTTCTTTTACGATTTGGATGCCTTTTTATTTCTTCTTCTTGTCTTAATGCTATGGCTAGCACTTCCAGTATTATATCAACAGGAGTGGGCATCCCTGTCTTGTTCCTGTTCTTAGGGGAAATGGATTTAGTTTTTGCCCATTGAGTATGATGTTGTCTGTAGGTATGTCATATAGGGCTTTCTATTATGTTGTGGTATGATCACTCTATTCCCATTTTGCTGAGAGTTTTTATCAAGAAAGGGTGTTGGATTTTATCAAATGCTTTTTCTGCATCAATTGATATGATTATGTGATTTTTGTCTCTCAATTTGTTTATGTGATGTATCACATTTGTTGATTTGGGGATATTGTACCATCTTTGCATCCCCAGAATAAGTCCCACTTGGTCATGGTGTGTTATCTTTCTAATATAATGTTGTATCTGATTTGCTAGAATTTTGTTGCGGATTTTAGCATCTATGCTCATCAAGGATATTGGCCTGTAGTACTCTTTATTTGTTGTATCTTATCTGGTTTTGGAATTAGGGTAATCCTGGCTTCATAGAAAGTGTGCCTTCCTCTTGAATGTTTTGAATAGTGTGAGGAGGATAGGTTTTAGTTCTTGTTTGAATGCTTGGTAGAACTCCCTGTAAACTTTGTAAAGCTATTCTGACCAGGGGTTCTGTTTACTGGAAAATATTTGATTACTTCTTCAATTTCTTAGTTAGTTAATGGCCTAGTCAGGTTTTTTGATTATTCCTGCTTGAGTTTTGGAAGCTTGTATTTTTCTAAGAATATACCCATTTCGTCTAGGTTGTTCAGTTCTTTGGAATACAGTTGTTCATAGTATATTTTTCATCATCCTATGTATTTCTGTGAGTTCAGTTGTTACTTCACCTCTTTCATTTCTGATTTTGTTTATTTGGGTCCTCTCTCTTTCCTTCTTGGTGAGCCTGGCTAGCTGTTCATTAATCTTGTTTATCCTTTCAAAGAACCAGTTCTTGGTTTTATTGATATTTTGTATTTTTTGGGGGGGGGGGGGTGGTCTCTATGTCATTTATTTCTGTTCTCATCTTTATTATTTCCTTCCTTCTGCTTACTCTGGGCTTTTCTTGTTGCTCTCTAATTTTTTGAGTTGTAGGGTTAGATAATTTATTACCATTTTATTTCTTATTTTTTGAGGTAGGCCTGTAGAGCTATGAACTTCCCTCTCAAGCCTACTTTCACTCTGTCCCATAGATTTTGGATTGTTGTGTTCTCTTGTCATTTGTTACCAGGATGCTTTTTATTTCTTCTTTGATCTCGTTGGTAACCCAATCATTGTTTAATAACATGCTATTTGGCCTCTGAGTTATTTTTTCATTGTTTTTATTATAGTTGATTTCTAATTTTATGCCATGTGATCTGAGAAGATGCTTGATATGATCTATCTTCTTGAATTTTAAGAGACTTTGCCTGTGTCCCAATATGTGGTCTATCTTTGAAAATGTCCCATGTGCACCTAAGAAGAATGTATATTCTGTAGCTTTGTGGTGAAATGTTCTGAAGATGTCAATTAAGTCCATCTGATCTAGTGATTCATTTAGGATTGATGTTTCTTTGCTGATTTATTTGTTTAGAGGATTTATCCAGTGGAGTCAATGGGGTATTAAAGTTCCCTACTATGACTGTATTGCTGTCCATCTCTTCCTTGATATCTTCCAGAATATTTTTATGTATCTGGGTGCTCTAGTATTGGGTGCATATATGTTTACCAGAGTTATATCCTCTTGTTGAATTGCTCCCTTTATTATTATGAGGTGGCCTCCCTTACCTTTTGTTATGGCCTTCATTTTGAGGTCTAATTTGCCAGATATAAGTATTGCTACCCCAACTTTCTCTTCATTTCTATTCACCTGAAAATTTTTTTTCCTTCCCTTCACTATCAGTCTGTGTGAGTCCTTAGTTCTCAGTTGGGTCTCTTGTAGATAGCAAATATATGGGTTGTTTTCTTATCCATTCAGCTATCCTATGTCTTTTGATTGGAACATTTAATCCATTTATGTTTATGATCTATGTTATTGATAGGTACTTGTTTTTCTCCATTTTTATTATTTATGCTGTGTTCCTTCTTCCCTTCCTATTTCTTTTTACAGCAGTCCCTTTAGCATTTCTAGCATTACTGGCTTGGTGGTAATAAACTTCCTTAGCCCTTTTTTTGGTCTGTGAATCCCCTTATTTCACCTTCAAATTTTGAATGATAGCCTTGCTGGGTATAGTATTCTTAGATTCAGTCCCTTGCTTTGCATTACTTTGTATATTTCAATCCATTCCTTTCTGATCTGATGTGTTTCTGTTGAGAAATCAGTTGATAGTCTAATGGGAGATCCCTTGTAGGTAAGTTTCTGTCTCTCTCTGGAAGCCTTTAAGATTCTTGCTTTGTCATTGGTGTTTATAAATTTAACTAGAGG